TAAAAGAGAGAGAAAGAAAAGGAGAATATGCACGGGGTTGTATCGTCTCCGCAATGTCTTCAGTCTGTGTGCTGGGCAAATCATCAGAGAGGCTGACTTTCGTGAAGAAGAACGTGGCCCCGGGATGGGTGGAAGGCTTGTGGACAGCCTGAGGTGTGCAGACGACCCAGCCTTGCTTCCTGAAAGTGAGAAGGACTGGCCGCACTTGCCGATAAAGAGCAAAGATTGCAGCCTTCCGTATAAATTACCACTCAGTGGAAGGAAGACTAGAACCCTTACAGCTGAGCCAGGCGGTCACATCATAATACATGGAGACAGCATTCAGGTTGTCGAGGTTGAGCTTGCTTGGATCCACAAGCATTGCTCCTGGAAGCAGCAGTCAAGAGATCAAAAGACGTATTGCATCGGGTAAGCCTGCTTGTCTTTAGAGGTCTGAAGAGCCAGGATGTTCCTTGGGGACTAAGGTGTGCCTGGCCCAGCCATGTGCTTCTCCATCACCTCGTGTGCACGTGCGAGTTGGGCCTGGAATAAGGAAGATCATAGAAGAGTAGATGCATGTGAACCGTGGTGCTGGAGAAGAATACTGAAAGTACCACGAACTGACAAAAGGACAAACATCTGTCTTGGAAGAAGTACAGCCAGAGCGCTCCTTAGAGACAAGCATGGTGAGACTGCATCCCACGGACTGTGGGCGTGGTGTCAGGAGAGACCAGTCCCTCGTGCTTGGTCAAGTGGAGGGGCGGTGAGGGAGGGAAGGCCCTCAAGGCCATGGAAAGAAGTTCAAGCTGCCCTGGACCCATTAGCCAGAAACAAGGCTCCAGGCATTAACGGAATACCCACTGAGATGTTGCAGAAGCTGAAGCAGCACTGGTCACGCACCTCTGCCAGGCAATTTGGAAGATGGCTACCTGGCCAACGGACTCAGGGAGATCCGTATTTGTGCCCATTCCAAAGAAAAGGGACCCAACAGAAGGCTCGGATCATAGAACGTCACCGCTGAGACCACCTGCAGGTAAACTTGAAGATCCGCCAGCCACAGACACAGCAGCGCACGGACAGAGGTTCTGGTGGGATTCAGAAGAGGACGTGGAACAAGGGATGTCTTTGCTGGTGTTGGATGGATCGAGACATTTGACTGTGGGGACACTCAAGAATATTGGGAATTCCAGAACATTTCACTATGTCCATGAGGAACTTGAACATGGATCGAGAGGTAGATGTGCAAACAGAAAAAGGGATTGCTCCTGCTCAGAGCAGCCAGCCCACAGAGAGGACCATATGGCTGGCCCCACCATGAGACACGACGTCCCTCACTGGCCCATAGCCCTACGGGGACGACACTGGAGACACAGTGCGGGAATTGTGCCCCATCTGACCCCACCACACGAAGGCAAAACACTAAGGGCATGGAACAGAACAGCAAAGGGAGCAGAGCAAGGAAGTCCCAAGGGAGTACCAAAAATAGACTTTGGGGCCAGGGCGTGGTGCCCCATCAGACTCAACTGGAAAACACTCCTAAAGGTCAACAAACAGACCTTGAACTACTTACAGTCTTTTTGTTTTGTTTTGTTTTGGTTGTTGTTCTGTTTTGTTGCTTTGTTTTGCTCTGTCTTGTTTTTTGTGCATATTATCATTTCTACAGGTCTATCTAGATAAGATAGGTGGGATAAACAATCCAGAGGAGGAAACAACAGGACCAACTGTAGGGGAGGGGGGAGGAGAAAGGAAATGGGTGTTAACAAACCCAGGGACAAGGGA